TATAAAGAGCTTAGTCGCAAGATTAATAATAAAAGGTAATAATAGAGACATGTACTTCTAAAGAATATTTAAGAGAGATAGGAGAAGGAGCAGCCTATAAAAGACATCGAGTGGTAGCTTTCTAGGCTAAAGTTTACTAAGAATATAAGGACAACCCTAGAGTCCTCTACTAATAAGACTTCTAAATAGAAACGCTTAATCGAAGTAATTATAATATTATTAGGAATATTACTAGAAGACGAGGTTCGCTAATATAATATAGCTATTAATATAGTTACAGACTACTATAAAGTCAAGGAAGGTAGAATTTACCTTATTAATTATTTAAGGCGGTCTACTAGAGGTGTTACTTCTATAGCGGTTAAGACTAAAGAAGATACTTAGCTACTAGTAGTAACTAAAGCGCTAGCTAAAGCGTTAGATATAGTAATCTTATCTATATACAAAGAGAAAAGACTAATAATATGTTTCGTTTGCTTAGGTAATTAGAATCTACCGGTTAGTAAGCGTGTGTATTTCTTTAAGACTCCTAGTAATCTAAGTAAACACTTCTAGCGCAAGCATCTCTTTAACCTTAAAGAGAATAAGTAAATTAAATATAAACTCTATAGAGTGTCTCTAGAGCATAGAATGCACCTATAAAACCATGCTTTCGGAATGCACGGGACTATTTCCTGATTCTACTATCTTTCAACCTACCTACTACATCACGCTACAGCGTGCACTATAGATAACTGCTAGTATATGTGTTGTTGAATACGCCGCTAAATTTTGGGGGGGTTGACTACTATTTCTTGACGTCTTTTCACTCTGGGTGAGTACCAATACAGTGCCCTACCGACTTCCATGTTCAGAGCCGTCGCGAAGCAAACGAGCCGAATCTGGATCCTTGTAATGTTGTGGAATTTGCGACCCCAAGAAAGTCGCAAATTTTCGTACAGATGGGACCTTATGTCAATTTTACAGACACATACATAATGACGAAATGCCCAAGCGATTGTCATAACGGTTCTTGGGTTCTGCGAATCAGCACAATCTGTAGGAGGTGATCCGTTGAGTTTGTTGTTTGCAGAAACTTTCCGGCGCATATTTTGTTGGAATATTCAAATTATCCGTTCGATCTTCGTAAGAGAAGTGCTTCAGAGAAGCTTTGTCTAAGATTCATGCTGCTCCAATTCCAAGAGGGTTTGCTAAGAAAGATCGCTATGGTTCTCTTCGCACCGCGATTGCATGTAGGATATGTGGTCATGGAAGGAAGTGATAGCTATTGTCGTGCTGAAGCCCTAGTTATTGACAAGGAGTTGATATTTATACCTGCCGACGTCCTTCTATAACAGCCAAAGCGGAATCTGCAGTTGGGATTCGGATGCAATTATTTTTCATTTTGTGGAGGCTTTCTGCCTCATCCTGATGTATTGTTCAGGGATGAGACTATGAGTTCCCACTGTGAAATTAAGGTGTTTTCGATCTCGCGCTCTTTACGAAGGTTCTGAAATATACCGCGGCGCGTAGCTTGAGGCAATTTGGGAATGACCCCATGTCGCGTACGTGAGGTATCGAGAACAAAGCTCTCCAAGAAGCCAGACGGAAGTTGGCGCAGCAATTTCGCACGGTCCACCAGAACTTGTTTCTCTGTTCTTAGTAACTGCGTACAGAGTCCTAGTTGATCCTCAGATGTGTCCGATTTGGCGCCTGTAGAGTGTTCAGCTTCAAGCTGACGAATAATGTTGCCTATAAGTCGCAAGTCATAATCCGATGCTTGTGCTTCCGCGACGAGATCAATGCTGCCGTGCTTCCTAATACGAGACATAGAACTGCTTAACTGGACCCTCGTGTACTGCCGTATCTCTTCGCTTGTGTCCTCGACACCGCCAATGGCTATAGTAGGTGAAAAGGTTGGCGTAGCCGCTACGGCTCCACACCTACGGAGCCATAGTACTGGTAGTGGAACCCTGGACTGTGATGTCTCTTCCACCGTGCGATAAGTCAACGAACAATAGGGACTAGGGACGTCTATCAGTAAGCATACAAATGGATGAAGCTGATTACAGACCACGTGGAGTCATCATCAGGGATGCTGGGGTTCACGTTACGGCATCCTGGGCAGTGTCGAGCATCTGGCTCCTGTTTGAAGACCATCATGGTCATTTCAAGGCGTTGGCCAGGCTGTCTGCGTTACAATGCATGCTGAACGCATCGGGAAAGATAAACTCACTTTGAGTACGCTCTCCCATGGTTTGTGAAGGTTCAGAATTCGTTTCGTGACAGGATCTCGTAGAAACCATTCTCCTCGCTCAATCTTTGCCAGTCCAATATCCTTGAATCGGACTTTGAGAAGAGCAACCAGTGCCTGCATAATGTTCAGTCAGGGCTGCCTGCAGTATTACAAATCAGCGCGGGCACACGCGGACGCGATACTTACTTCAGCTGAGTTGACAGATTCAAGAAAGAAGGGAGTTATGCGTCCGCAAGCATCATTCAGAATCACCGGTCGGGATAGGAGCACCTGTGCGGGAACCTCGCGCTCCAAGAGCAGCAGTCGTTTCAGATCTAGTACTTCCGCTAGGTTCATGCCGAGAAGATGGTTTTGGCGTTTGTTTTCCTCTTCCAGAACGGCAGCACGGTCTGCCAGTGAGAGAAGATGTCGAAACATTTGTTGTTGTTCGTCTGGAGTCAAACCTCTGAGACGTTTACGCTATGAATGAAGGTACAGGTTTGCATTGAAGTGATTAGAACTCACCGTGAAAGTTTCGTGACGATGTCTTGGAGTATTCCAACTTGTTTCTCTACAGTGCTCTTGCTATGACGGACTTGCACATCAAGAGCGGCAAGTGTGACTTGCTGGACCTCCATCAAACCCGTCTGGTAGCGCGTACTAATTGCCGTCTCCTTAGAAGTCGTTTCAATATGAGTACTATATCCTGATTAGCGTCATGACATGTGGAGGCAGAGATATGCAGTACCTACATTGTAAGAGCATCGAGGAGTACTTGTATGGCGCTTAGATGCGACGCGATCTCGGCTCGAAACCGAGCAATATCTCCCTTTTTGCATGATGCCCATTCAATCTTTCGCGCTGCCCTTTTAAAGGCTACGATCGATATTCTATCAGTCGATTAGTTTTGGAAAATGTCGAACTTGACCTTCTGCTCCAAGAAGGCTTGAACACACGCCCAGCACCTTTTAATGGCCTGCTCTTTGGCAGCGCGCTGCCTTTGAGGCATTTGTTTGAGATCTACCTCATCTAGAGCTCCAAGAGCATCTTCAAGGCTTGCGAGCTCAGCCTGCAGTTCTCTGTATTCTGATAACGCGCCATTCGTGTCATTGAAGGCTTGTATACAGTCCACGATCACTCCCAGACCGACAACGATGTCACCAACGGAGAAGCCAAAAGGGACAACCATATCTGCGATGAGTAGAGATGTGCAAGTTTATGGGAAGACCAGGCTGCAATGGAGCGGATTTATGAGAGAAGGAAGAGCACGTGCCAGGTTTGTGGCTGTGGCAGTGTGTGCATTGCGCGAATGTAAGAGTGAGGGAACCGACGCTAGCGTCGATACAGCCACTGTAGGCGGGCCCAATCTCTAGTGTAATACTTACCTACTTAATTCTTATACTATAGATAGTATTGCTTAGACTGTTATCTCTATACTATATTGACTATTTACTCTCTTAAATAGACTTAGTAACTACCACGAGAGGGACTATGCTTAGGCGGATTAGCGCTGACGGTTTGACCGCGAATTCTGTATACACCTTTGTTGAATTTGTCGCTCACTCTTTTGGCAACGTCTCCATTTCCGAAGTTCAGCCATACTTGGCGAGTAGGTTTGTGCCAGGAGATATGGACCTTTTTGCAACTGATGCGCCGGGTAGTTGAGCTTGAAAGCGTGGAAGGATAGACGGGGAGAGCTTCGAGGCTAGAGTATCTTGGAGCTGATACTTTGTCTGATTTCAACTTCGCACAGAATCCTTTCGCAAATGATGGATCTTCAACCGAGAAGTTGGAGAAGCGACTTGAGGTGCAACAAGCAGTTGAGATTCTTCTCACAAGAATCTTATGGGGACTATGCACGCCTTACTGTGGGCAACAAGGCGACATATCGTGACAGGCTTATAGGGTGTCCACGGTTCAGCGCCCCCACCCCCCTCTTGTCAATCGCAAAAGATTGTGCGTAAACTTATAAAAGATCCTATGCGAACTTCATCCCTACTACCTTTCTACACTATTAGGTCCATACAACACACTATTAACAAGCTAAGATTATCACTATAGTATCTTTACATGCTCTACTTAAGTTTGAGATAATTATATTATAATATTTAGAGGGTCGTGATGTGAGGATAACCACGTGGAAAGCTTCTTCCCTATATTAGTGAGGAAAAAATCCCTGTTTGCGCACAATCTTTTGAATTGACAAGAGGGCGGGTGGGGGCGCTGAACCGTGGACACCCTGTAGCAAATGGGGAATGATGATCCGCTCCGATGCTCAGCCTTCGGCTCAGTCTTCAGCCCCGCTTTCAGCTCATACAACTCCCTGACCCGACAACTCACGACCTCATGAACTCGGACTGATGTGTTCTCATTCATTTTGAATATACCTGGCGACTTCAGGGCACCTGTTTTGAGATTGTTGTGTCTTTAAACAAGCCATCAGCTTGTAAAGCTGTACCTATACTCCTAGAGTCCATGTCACGCTTCTTCAATCGAGGGTTCTTGAGAGGGACACGAGCTTCAGCTGACACCTCTAGAGACCCAAGTCCACAACCTCCAGAATATCAAGACTCTCAAGACTCGGTAAGGGTACCCTAGGGTAGTGAAGCTGCTGGCTTCAGTTGTACCTGGGACTATAAACACATGGTATTTAGACCGTCACTTACTCAGAGCAGAAGAGAGAGAAATGCGGTCTGTTCTGTTTCACTCCAAACCTGAGCCCGGATCAAATCGATGCAGAGTACGATCTCACCCCACGTCGTTTCAAGCACCGCCTGCTGACGCCATGGCGCTTAGTATAATCGCTGTACATGGGCTCTTAGGAGATTGGGAACACACATGGACGGATGAAGGAAGCGGAAACTTATGGCTTCGGGACTTCTTACCGTCGACCGTTCCTAGCGCACGGATTTGGTCGTACGGCTATGACTCAAGCATTGTGTTTTCGCAATCAATCAACGAGATTGATGTAGAAGCCAGGAGTCTTCTAGATAGGCTCCAGGGAGTGCGAGAAGAGACTAGAACACCTGAGAAGCCCATCATATTCATTTCTCACAGCCTTGGAGGCATCATTGTGAAAAAGGTAAGGCGCTCCATTCTTGGCCGAGATGAAATTGTTGGCTAACCTTAACGTAGGCCTTGATACTTGCTCATGAAATGTCAAGCTTCTATGGTGGGCTCTTGAGCCACGTCCACGCAGTCGTCTTCTTTGGAGTCCCTCACAGCGGTTCGGACGCTGCCGTCTGGGGAAACTTCATAGCACGTCTGCTGAAATTGACGCCGTTGCCCGTAAACACAAATTTCATCGGCCCCCTACAGAGGAACTCATCCGCCTTCCGGGACATCTCTCGCCAGTTCATTCAAAGAGGTTCCCAACTCGTAATCAGAACTTTTTTCGAAACTAAGAAAATCGGAAACCAAGTGGTAAGCTCGTCTTATGCCAAGTGGAAATACAATAGACCTGACCAAGCAATTTCTCTTTATACAGATCGTCTCAAGGGAATCGGCAAGCCTGAATCTACCCAACGAGCTTGCACTTGCAATACCACAGTCAGACCATCGAGACCTGTGCCGATTCTCTAATGTTGAATCCCAGAAATACGCCCCGGTGCGGAGAGCGATTAGAAACTTGATCGATTCTGCTCTGAGCGCTTCTCAGACTGCCTTGATCAACTCTGCTTCAAGTGCCTCACCCAAGGTGGAACCCACTCGGAAAGTCGAAGAGGGAGCGGCCACTCCCAAAGCTAAAGAGGAGATACAACCACTTACATCCTTGGATGAGAACATCCCTGCCATATTTCTCCTAGTCCTCAACGGAAATGCCTATGGTATCAAGCAACTTTTGGACCATGTCGACAAGAGCCAAGTGCATGCCGTTTTCAAACCTCTGAAGTACGGATCCCAGCCCTTGCACATTGCCGCGATAAAGGGAGATGCCGAGATTGCCCGCATTCTGCTTGAACGCGGCGCTAGTCCTACAGCTCTGTCACTCGAACACGGCTGCACTGCCCTGCATTATGCTGTCGATGGAGGTTTTTTTGACGTTGTGGATGAAATTCTTCACCGCGACGACAATGGTCAGCTTATGTATCCAGTGGGAGACACTATCAACCTCAGCACCCCTCTAAACCACGCTCCTCCCTTGGTTTTTGCAGCTCAAAATGGGTTTACGAGGATCGTGCAGGCATTGCTAGAAGCCGGGGCAGACCCGAATGTTCACGGCATTAACGGCGCAAACGGGTTGCACGTTGCCGGAGGACAACAATTCGATGACATCGTAGCCGCTTTGCTGCAAGCTGGCGCAGACCCGAATAAGGCCAATCCCGAGGGGATAACACCGCTCCACGTCGTGAACAGCGCTCGCTCGGCCGAGATGCTAATTGATGCTGGGAGTAATTTGTCGGCTACAATCTATAGTAAAAACCCATACAACTTCACCATAGGAGCGACACCGCTGAGAGTCAGCGTGGATTCTGGAAACCTCGCGGTCGTTGAGGTACTGGCGAGGCATTGCACCCGGGAACAGCTGAACATGAAGGCCGCCGATAGGAAGTCCGCGCTAGAAGCCGCTATTGATCCGTTCAAGTCCTCAATTTCAAAGGTGCTCTTCAACGCCTTCGAGCTTCTATTAGAAAAAGACAAGGAAAGCGTAGCTGATATCAACGAGTAATGTTGGGCCAGGAGGGAAAATAGGTATGTTCTGCATGCAGCAAGAGGTGCTGTGCGACTGATATTTAGCGCAGTCCTTCGCGATGAGCGAGAGCTCCGGATGCCTAGACGCGGCCTAGAAGGCTAGCCTGCAGCGGACCCACTTCGACATGAATAAGTTCGGCAAGCCCAGCGAGGAGGAATACCAGACTGTGCGGGATGTTATCGAAGAGATAGTTGAGGTGGCTCTAAGTCTAGTAGTGGCCCGATCTTAGTGTAGCTAGTCCCTCGTTATACTGCTTCTACTTTTCTTCTATTCTAGAGAGTACTTAAGAGGAGTTATCTGTCTAATAGATGATACGTGTAGATAGCGGCGAACACAAGGTTGTATTTAGTCTTAAGGGTGTCGCCTTAGCGAACCGATTCGTTAGGCGTGATGCGGAGCTGCTACGGCTTAAGGACTACTTCTATCTTAAGACACCTAGCTATACCCGTAGCCTTACCCGCCGTAAAGTCTTCGTTATCTATAGCCTTAGTGGAATGGGTAAGATATAGCTAGCTATTGAGTTTGCTTGTAAGTATAAGGGCAAATACGGCGCGGTATTCGGGATAGATAGATCTTCGAAGGATGAGATGAAGTAGTCATTTATTAATATCGCATATAGGCTACTATAGGACTAACTAATAGTAGATACTATAGCAGCCTTATAGTAACCTAATATTAATGTTAACGTGGTGGTAAATAGTATTCTCGGATAGTTATCTATACTATCTAATTAGTAGTGGCTCTTAATTATTAATAACGTGGACCGTAATCCTCTTTATAAGAATAAAGACCCGTAGGTATATAATGTGAAGGAGTACTTTCCCTTAGTAGATTATAGATTAATTCTAATTATAAGTCGGTTGGCGAGTCTTGAACGCTATAGGAACGGCTAGAAGCTAGATAAAGCTAATAATAAGGAGGTAAAAGCTATCCTAGATAATAACGCTAGTAAGCTAATTACGAGTATATAAGAATATTAGACTATTATTTTATAATAATAGCTAACTATTACGTGATATATCTTTAAGACTCGGACTTAACCGTAGTCTAGCTTAATAGCCTTCCTCTTATACTTACTTAGGCCGGCTCGTATTTACAATAAATAATTATAATTATATTAGCCTATATTAAGTATTACGACAGCACGTAGAAGGATCTAATAAAGAAGTAAGACTAGTTCCTACTATAGGAGTATACTAACCGCAGCATGCTTACTATAGAGAAGATATTATATAAGTGCATAGTTAGAGCGAAGAGGCTACTAACTTACTTAAACTATAGGTATTTCTAGATTGTAGAGAGCTATAGTATAAGCTAATTACTTCTATTTTACGTTCGGATCTAGATATAGAGGTGTCTAGCTAGCTACTACGAATTACGTAGAATAAGCTTAAATTTTTTAATACTATTCAGCTTCTTTCGGTCTACTCGCTAGTTAATATAAGGGAAAAAACATTAATCCACTCGATGCACTTAGTTTTACCTAAATAGTACAGTTAGCTCTTAAAGAAATAATAAAAGAACCGTACTATCTTAGTATACTATAAGCTTTATAGTATTTATGGTACTCTTATAGTCTTAAACTAAGTACTAGAAGCTGTAAAAGCGTCTACTACCGCATAGGAGCCGAGTGTACTAATAGATACTAAATAAGCTTTAGGACTAAGCAGGTCGGGTAGGTAATATAGGCGTATAGCTATAGATTTTCTTTAATTTAGAGATACTATTCGCGAAATAGGGTAAGCTAGGTAAGGTAGAGAAGATATACTAGTAGGCTCTAGAAGAAAGAGAGAAGGCACTCAGTCTAGATAGTATATTAATACTTAATATAGTCGATAACCTAAGTATTCTTTACGCGAAATAGGGTAAGTTATAAGACTCTATTAGGAAAAAAATTTCGGCGCTTAGAGCTGCTTGGAGTACTTAAAGCCCGCTCTAAGCGCTTAGAGCCTTTAAGTGACTCTACCCACTCTAGAGCGGCTCGCGAGTAGGTAAAGCACTTAAAGCGCCCTATAAGCGCTTAGGCGCACTTAATACCCTAAGTAATCTTCCTATAATTAATATTCTTACTAGAGCTAGTCCCTTTAGCCTTATTACTTAGTTTAGAGTATAGTTTAGATATAAAATATAAGTTATTTAGAATAATATTTCTATATTATATATATATAATAGTTAGTACTCTTCTAACTACTACTAGACTCCACTTACTATCTATATAATTAATAGTAATATAGAGATTAGCCTATTAGTTACTTATACTATTACTTATTATATAATAGCACCGCGTGAGGTAACTAGTATAGAGCTATTACATAGTAGTAATAGATAAAGCAGCTATATTATATATAGTAAATACTTTCTTATTTAGAGCTACTAGAATTCTACGCGATAGAAAGTAGTATATAATTATAACTAATCCTCTATATAATTCTCTTCTATCTCTTTCTAGATATTCACCTTACTATTAGTTAAGTTCTATATACGCTCTATAAACCTTCTATACTTATCCTTTTATATTATAATAGCAGCTTTCTAACCTATAGTTATGTACTACTACCTATTACCTCATACTCTATTTATAAAAGTCTTTTAAACTTAGGTGAAATTTGTAATTCTTAACTCAGTATCCTTCCTAATAAAGTATAGTTTATACTTATACCTTTTTAGTTATCTAATAAAAGCTAGTAGTAATAGTCTAGGCTTTTCTATTATAGAAATAACCTATTAAGGTTTAGCTATCTTTATAATTATAGCTTTAGTAGAAGGGAATAGGATACTATCTAGTAGCTTACTTAAGAAGCTATTACTACTAAAATTAAGAATTAGGGGTATACGACGCTAGCTTAACTAGCTTAATAGATTACTACTACTTCTAGGCGTAGTACTTCTAGCGGAAGACAGCTTAGTCTAGCTTATAGATTATATAGAAACTAAGTAAGATAGGCTAGCGTCTTTAACTATATACTTAGGCTAGATCTTATTATAGTTAGCCTTATAAGTATATTAGATAGGTTAAAAGATATATATCTTTATAGATATAATACTTAAGCTACTTCTTATAGATTATAGAGTATAGCGCGTTATTACTTCTACTCTACTTACCTAGTAGTAGTGGACTAGTATTCTATATTATTCTTATATTAGCTACCACTTAGAATATATTAGATTCTTAAGTAGTTACCTCTTTATCTAGTTTAGTGTTATTATATATAGGGAAATCCTCTTCTCTAAATAGATTTAGGGTGTACTAAGGTTATTATTAGCTATAGGTATTTACTTTAAGCGCGTTTACTACTTATAGTATTTAAAGGTATTAATACTAGTAAGTTCCTTCCTCTTAGTTACTAGATTAGTTATAGTAAATAAAACTAACTTTATACTATATCCACCCTAATAAGCAATAGACTATACTATTATAGTATCTATTTCTAAAAGACTAGTGAGGTCGTTAATAGTATTCTTATTAGGATTATATATTAGCCTACTAGCTCCCTTTAAGTACCTAGAGTGGATATTCACGTAATTAAAGACTTATTTATAAGTCTATTTAGCTATAATCTATTTATATTTAGGAATATTTCTATAGTACTATACTACCCTTAATATTTCATAGTCCTCTCTATTAGTTAATAGCTTATTATATAACTATTATATAATAGTAAGGGGGTTACCTACTATTAGTATTCGTTCTATAGTAAGGTAGCCTTACTAGTCCGTCCTTCTATTTCTTATAGAGCACCTATTTAATTATTATAGCTATAAATATAAGCGCTTCGCCTTATAGAGGATTAAAGTATTATTTAGTATAATTAAGGGTTCTAATTAGCTCTAGGTAATAGCGTCTAATATAAAAAATATTAGCTATTAATTTCGCGATAATAGGGTTTACCTATTGATAGTTCGGCGCCTACTAAGAGTAAGTATAGTATAAGCCTAGTAGGGGTTCGTACTATTTTAAGACTATAGTAGAGCTAGTTATTATTCCTTATTAACTCTACTATATATATATTATAGTAAATATTTATATCTAGTTTATAGAAGCTTATAATGTTTCTATAGATATACTCTATAGTATAATAGTAGAATAAGGCGACTTCACGAATAAACTATATATATATTAATATCTAAGTTAGTTTTCTAGTTAAAGGAGCTATAGCCGGCTTACCTATAGGTAAAATGCTCTATCTAGCTTCTTACTAATATTAGAGTCTTAGAATTCTAGCCTTTTCCCTATAATTAATATAGCCTCTATTTAGTATTAATTAATTACGTGCTATATTATCTATTCTATTCCCTCTAGTTGAAAGCTATCCTATTATTTTAGCCGGCTAGTATAGTACTTTATAATAAGAATCTCTCTAGCTATATTTCTTACTAGTATATTAGCTTTAGGTAGCTCTTACTAAAGATTAGTATATATTAGTAGTCTATCCTATCTTATCTCTATAGCTATACTTATTAGAATCTTAGTATTATTAGGCTCTAATCTACTATAGCGTATAGTTACTAGTATACTCCTACTTATATAGTTATTCTAACTCTACTAAGTGGATAAGAGGTATTACCTTTTATATATATAATGCATATACAATAGGGGTGTAATTATCTATATCTAGTTAGCTTAGAAATATAACTACTAAGTACTTTACACTTATTTTACTAATTATAGCCTATTTATTAACCTATATATCTTTATTACTATCTATACTACTATATACACTACCTTCTTTATCGCCTTAATTTCCCTAGTCCTATAAGCTAACATATAGAGCGCCTTATAGACTTAAGCGTAGTAAATTATTATTAAAGTTATTACCTTAGTTGTTTTTATTCTTAATAATAATTAGAAGTGCTATCTATTAGTTAGGTATTTAGCTACTTATATCTCTAGTTAACTTCTTAGGCATCTAGCTACTCTTATTTCTAGTTAACTTCTTAGGCACCGCTTTCTTTAGTAGTAAGCGTGCTATATAATA